CAAAATTTTCCCACCAGTTTCTTGTTTTCCTTCTAATTTTGGCTGCATTCGTTTTGTTTGTGCAAAAGCTTTTTATTTTCATGTAATCAAAATTACATATTTTATTTTCCATAATCTCCTCAGCCTTTTGTTTGGTCATAAACTCTTCTCTTATCCATATATCTGACAGGTACATTCTTCCATGCTTCTCTAATTTACTTACGATATCATCCTTTATGTCTAAATCATTTATCCATTTTGATTTTATCTTGGTATATGGTGAAGGATGTTGGTCTGTGCCTAGTTTCTGCCAAATTGCTTTCCAGATTGCCCTACAATTTTTGTCAAATGTTTAAAGTTTTACCCCCCAAAACTTGGATTTTAGGGTTTATCAAATACTAGATTACTTTGGATTTTTAGTACTGTATATTGTGTCCCTAATTTATTCCAACAATCCACCATTCAATTTTTAAGCCAGTACCAGATTGTTTTGATGATTACCACTTTGTAACAGTTTGAAATGTGAAACTGCTAGGCTGCCTTGACATTTTTTATTGATTCCCTTTATATTCTTGACTCTATGAACATTCTTTCCATATGAATTTTGTTACTATATTTTTTAACACTATAAAATAATTCTTTGGTAGTTTGGTTTGGCACTGAATAAGTAAATTAACTTAGGTAGAATGGTCATTTTTATTATATTTGTTATATCTATTCATGAGCAATTAGCATTTCTCCAATTATTTAGATCTTTCTTTATTTCTGTGAAAAGTGTTTTGAAATTGGGTTTATATAATCCCTGGATTTGTCTTGGCAGGTAGACTCTCAAGTATTTTATATTGCCTGTTGTTACTTTGAATGGAAATTCTCTTTCTCTTCCAGTTGGGCTTTGTTGGTAGCGCAGAGAAATGCATATACCTTATGTGGGTTTATTTCATAACCTACAGCTTTGATAAAGTTATTAATTGATTCAAGTAGGTATTTAGTTGATTCTCCAGGGTTCCCTAAATATATCGTTGTATCATCTGCAAAGTATGGTAGTTTTGTTTGCTTGTTGCCTATTTTTATTCCTCCAATTTCTTTTTCTTGTGTTATTCCTACATCTAGCATTTCTAGCACAATATTGAATATCAGTGATGATAATGGACATCCTTGCTTCACTTTTGATCTTACTGGGAAGGCTTCAAGTTTATTCTCATTACAGATAATGCTTGTTCTTGGTTTTAGATAGATACTACTTTTCTTAAGGAAGGCTTTATTGATTCCCACGCCTTTTATTGTTTTTAATAGAAATGAGTGTTGTATTTTGTCAAAGACTTTTTCTGCATCTGTTGATAAAATCATATGATTTTTATTGTTATTATTATTGATATGGCCAATTATGCTAATAGTTTTCCTAATATTGAACCCAGCTAGTCATAGTGTGTGAACTTTGTGATATGTTGCTATAATCTCCTTGCTAGTATTTTATTTAATTTTTTTTCTATCAATATTCATTAAGTAAATTGGTCTGTAATTTTCTTTCTCTGTTTTTGCTTTCCCTGGTTTTGGTACCAGCACCATATTTCTGTCATAAAAGGAATTTGGTAAGATTCCTTGTTTAATTGTTTATTTTTCAGGTAGCTTATATAATGTTAGGATTAATTGTTCCTTAAATGTTTGGTGGATTTCACTTGTAGATACATCTTGTTCTAGGGAATTTTTCTTAGGGAGCTCATTGATGGCATATTCAATTTCTTTTTCTAAGATGGGGTTACTTAAATATTCTATTTCCTCTTCCAGGCAGTTCATATTTTTGTGAATATTTATCCATTTTGCTTAGATTGTCAATTTTACTGGCATGTAATTGTGCAAAATAACTCCTAATAATTGATTTCATTTCATCTTCAATGGGGGTATATTCACCCTTTTCATTTTTGATACTGGCGATTTGTTTTTCTTCTTTCTTTTTAAGTCAAATTAACCAATGGTTTATTTTATTGGGTTGTTTTTCATAAAAATCAGTTCCTAGTTTTATTTATTGGTTCAAGGGTTTTTTTTTTACTTTAAATAGTATTAATCTCTTTTTTATTTTCAGAATTTTCAATTTTCTGTTTAATTGGAGACTTTAAATTTGTCTATTTCTCTTTTTCTTTAGTTGCATGTATATTCCATGATCTGCTCTTTCTCTCGTCTTTTTATTGATATCCACCTTTACAGATATAAATTGTCTTCTAAGTCCTGCTTTAGCTGCATCCCACAAATTTTGGAATGTTGTCTCATTGTTGTCATTCTCTTTAATAAAATTATTGTTTCTATGATTTGTTCTTGGAACAACTGTTTTTAGAATTGGATTGTTTAGTTTCCAATAAGCTTCTAATCTATGCTTACATGGCCCTTTATTAAATGTAATTTTTATTTTAAAATTATGCATTTTGGGCTAAAAGGGTGCATTTAATATTTCTGCTCATCTGCATTTTGTTGTGAGATTTTCATGCTCCAATACATGGTCAGTTTTTGTGAAGGTGCCATGCATAGTGGGGAAGAAAAGATATATACTCTTTTCTATTCCCATTCAGTTTTCTCCAGAGGTCTATCATATTAGCTTTTTAAAGATTCTTTTCATCTCCTTGGCTTCTTGCCTATCTATTTTATGGTTAGATTTATCTAGCTCTGAGATGAAAATGTTGGGGTAACCCAGTAGTATAATTTTATTATTTCCTCCTGTAATTCATTTAACTTTTCCTTTAAGAATTTGGATGCTATGCCATTGGGTACATATATGTTGAATATTGATAATAGCTCATTGTCCACAGTTCCTTTTAGTAAGATGTAGTTTCTCTGATTATCCCTTTTAATTAGGTTTATTTCTGCATTTGCTTTAACTGAGATCATGATTGCTACCCTTGCCTTTTTTATGTCAGCTGAAGCATGATAGTTTCTGCTCCAGCCCCTCATTTTATTTTTGTAAACAACATATTTTTGGATTCTGGTTTCTAATTCATTCTGCTATCTGCTTTCACTTTATGGGTGAGCTCATTCCATTCACATGTTCAGTTACAATTGCTAACTTAATATCCCCTCATGCTATTTCCTTTTGTTTATCCTTCTCTCTCTTTTTTTATCCTGTCCTCCTCTCAAGTCTGTATTGCTTCTGACCGCTGCCTCCATTAATGTGCCCTACCTTTTATCACCTCTCTTCCCTTTCTTTCTTCCCTTCCAAATTCTGCTTCCCTGTTGAGTAAGATCGATTTCTCTTGCCAATTGAGTATGCATGCATGTATGTATATATGTATGTATGTATTTTCCCCTTTTGAACCAACTTGGATATGAATGAGGTTCAAGCATTGTTCACCACTCTTACCATTTTCCCCTCCACTATAAAAGCCCTTCCTTGTGTGTCTCTTTTATGTGAATAATTTTCACCAGTCTTCTTCTCCCTTCCTCACCCCCTTCTTCCAGGGCAACCTTATTTCTCATCTATCCATTTTTTGTTTGATTTTTTTTATTAATTTGTTTTTAACAACAATCACTTCCTTAAGCTTTTGAGCAATCCATTTCTAACATCATCTCAACATAATCGACTCACTCCTACACTCTCTTTCTATATAGAATCCTTCTAATTGCCCTAATAATAAAGTTTTTAGAAGATACCTGTATCATCTTCCTATATAGAAAAGTACACAGTTTAACCTTATTGAGTCCCATATGATTTCTCTTTCATGTTGACCTTTTTATGTTTCTCTTGAGTCTTGTATTTGAAAGTCAAATTTTCTATTCAACTCTGGTCTTTTCATCATGAATGCTTGAAAAGTTTTCTGTTTCACTAAATATCAATTTTCCCCCTTAAAGCATTATATGCAGTTTTGCTGAGAGAGAGAGAGAGAGAGAGAGAGAGAGAGAGAGAGAGAGAGAGAGAGAGAGAGAGAGAGACAGAGAGAGACAGAGAGAGACAGAGAGACAGAGAGAGACAGAGAGAGACAGAGACAGAGAGAGAGAGAGAGAGAGAGAGAGAGAGAGAGAGAGAGAGAGAGGAGAGAGAGAGAGAGAGAGAGAGAGAGAGAATCTCATTCCCTAACATCATGCCCCTTATTGGCAAAGCAGCAGTAACAAATGAAATCCCTCTTCTTTGCCCCAACCTGTTTGGAAAGGTCCAAGCTCTCTGCCTTGGTCATGACTAATTTCTGGCTAGGGTTCTGTCCCAACAGGAGAGCCCAAACAGAGTAGGAGAGTGAGACAGAGTTTAATACAGCTAGCAAGAGGGTGTTTGCAGAAAAGACTACCAGGAAGCAAAGAGGCTCTGAGTTCTCTCTGTTTTTTCACAGAGCACTGTACAGGATGTGGAGATCTGGAGAGCAGTATGTCAGAGTTTCCGGGAACACTCCGAGGAGATTGGACATCACTTCATGAAGGAACAAGCATATGTCTTCAGTGATATGTCGGAGGAAGGGAGGTAATGTTGGCTGCTCTGCATCCGTGCTGAAAGTGAGCCCTTGCCCACATACCCAGGCACCACCCAATGCCTCAGTTTCCTGATCTATAAAATGATGGAGCTGAGCATAAAAATCAGGAATACATACATGACAAAATCATGGCACTTAGGCACTGAGAGGCAGTGTAAATGAGTACATAAAGAGCTCATCTTGGAATCAGGGAGACCTGAATTCAAATCCTGCCTCTGGCACAGTACTGGCTATATCAGTGTCACCAGTCAACTCTAACATGAGTTATGTATCAGTTTGGGAATTTGCAGTGGTGGAGAGAATTTCCACACTGAGACTTCCCTATGAAGGTAAAATCATAGGTCTGGATCACAAAATATGGCCACATTCATATAAATGAAGGGAATGCTTTAAGTAATTTCAAAGAACTGAGCCGAGTTGGTTTGGGGAGAATGGAGATGGAGGAAAAACTTCCTCATAGGAGATGCTATGTGTGCTGCTGTTCTTCTACTCACCTGCAGGGAGGAGATGAGGCAGCTTCGCCATTTACGCCAAGACCTACATCAACAGGTGGTGGAACTGGAATCCTACCTCAGTGACTGCGCTCGGCAGATTCAAGATAGAATGAGCCTGGTACGGGACATTAGCCCCCATTCCCATGACACACTAAGACTTGTCTCCTGGCTCTGAGGCTAGCTGTGCCAAGGCCAGGTGACCCTGGGCAGGCAATAACCTCTCGTGTCACTGGGCCAGTGAGGTCACACTCAAATAGAAGTGGGGGTCACTAAGCTATACATAAGAATCTTCATCTGTTGACTTAGAAAACCACATATTAACATTATATATGTTTACTGTATTTTATTTGTTTTGTTAAATATTTCCCAAATATATTTAATCTGGTTCTAGCTACATTTGGCACCTCTGCTCTAGGCAATTCTCTAATATTCTCAGTTGCAGTGAAGGTGCCAACCTATATTGGTGGAGGGAATTTCCTCACCCTGGAGTTCTCTGTACAAATGAAATTACAAGTTGAATCCCTATCCTCTCCTCCTATGTTTCATGTCATAATATGAATTTGGCTACAAAATAGAACTCGTGGTTTCCAGAGTTCAGTGAGTTGACTTCACCTTGTTTTGTGTGGTAACAATGAGCAGGCCTGTTTGCATGGAACCTGAAACAAATGATAAGGAAGAGCACAAAACCAGTCTAGAAAGATAGGTTGGAGAGGCTTTGCTTGCCAACAGAAGAGTTTACATTATGGAGCTATCGAAGGTTCTTGAGCAAGGGAGTAACACTATACTCTAGCTGTCATCTAGGAGTATTGTTGCCTCACCTCTTTTTCTGCTATTTTCCCTCAAGCAGTTTGACCAGCTCTTAGAAGGACAATCCCAACTCTGTTCAGAGCTGGGCCTCCCCAACCTGGGAGAAGGAAGTGAGCCAACCTTCCATACTGATTCAAATATTCATGAGACTGTGTCCCCCAAGGCTCCCAGCCCCACCATCGAAGGTCAAGGATCTCCACTCCCAGAGCAGACCAGGGCATGTGCCCTCACTTCCCCCTCCTCAGCAGACAGCCCAGAGATGCCCTTCCCTTCCACAACATTAGCAGAGCCAGGCCTTGCCTCTTCAGCAGCCTCCTGGAATCGGCATGTGGGCAGTGAAGAAAAAAGAGGCTCCAGCCAGAGCCGAATGGACCTCAAAGGCTTCTTGGGCAAAGTAAGCTGCATTCCACTATCACTGAAGAAGTGATATTTCTATTGGCATCACTTCTCTTTGTCATGCAGGGAGACAACACTCGCTAACTGTCTGTGTCTCAGTTTCCTCATGTGTATAAGGAGAGGGGTAGACATGGTAGGCTCTAAGTCCCTTTCAGCTCAAAATTATCTCTGGTCCCCTAATCCTATGATTCTATGATGTTTGTTGGGCAGGGTATTGTAGAGGGTAGGAAGATGGCCTCAGAGCCAGGAAGATCTAGGTTCAAGTCCCACCTGGGACACATTCTTGCTGTGTGACCCTGGGCAAAGGGAAGTGAAAGAGATGGTCTCAGTTGAAACTACATGGTGTGGAGTAGTCAGGAAATAAGAGACATTAAGTGGCCTGCCAAGGATGTAATTAGTGAGTATCTGAGGCAGGATTTGAACTCAGGTCTTCCTCCAAGTCTGACACATTATCTACTTTACTCCCTAGGTGCCTACAAAGTGCCAAGCATATAGGAAATAATAGAAGGAAATGCTGCTTCTGTAGAATACCTTTAGTTGTTTTTTAGGGCTCCAAGTCATGGCCATGTTGGTCTAAGAATAGATGCATATTTTCTCCTTCCCAAATATTACTTTTATAAAACCTTGTGTCATATTACTGCATCAAGTAATCAGATTTGTTATTGTGTTACATTGTTCTTTATTCTTTTCCAGCATGTATCGTTGTACTTTTTCCTTTCAAAACAATTTCTTATTTGGGATTACCAACATTCAGACTAATATGGCACCTACCTGACCCTCCTGGCAATGAGACATCCATAGAAGAACTTTGTCCCCAAGGTTTCCCCCTAGAGTTAGTTCTGTGTATTCATCTGCTTACGGAGCCCAGCCAGCAGGCTTTCCCAAATCATTTATCCTCAGGGCTTTCATGTACTCCATTATGAAGTTGTTATTTTCTTTCCCAGCTGAAGAAGACTTTCAAGAGCTCCTTTGGCAATGAACCAGCTGATGGACAAAACTGATGGAATGACAGAGAAGAAAGAAAGATAATTCATTCACTGTTTGGACAAGCCTCCCCCTCCACATCAGTTCAGAAACTTCATTCTATTTATAGAGATGGTGGGAACCTGGTAACATTGCCATGGGGGAATTCTTTTCTCTTCTGCCCCCAGGATCCACTTGAAAACAAGTTGTGTTAAAATACTGTCATTTCGTAGTGAGAGAATGGGAATCATCATATTTTTCCAAGGCCAACTGACTCTTCACTTTCAGCCTATGCAGATAAAAATGATTAACAACAAATAGGATGGGTTTCTCATAATACATGCAGGTCTTCTACCTCCTGGCCCCAGCTAAGTCAGTAAGATTAACAGATATGTATCGAGTGATTTAAAGTTTTCAAAGAGTTTAATAAACATTCTCTCTTAATCCTCACAATAATCTTGCCAGGCACAAAGTGCAAGTGAGATTAGCTCCATTTTACAGATAAAGAAACTGAGAGCCAGAGAGGTTACATGATTAGCCACAATTAAGAATGATGAGGTGGGATTTAAAGTCAGTTCTCCCCTAAATCCAAGGCCAGTACTTTAGCCGCAGCTCAACACTGCCCAGGTAGATGGGCCTCTAAGCCAATCCCTATCTCCAGGGTAAGAGGGATCCCATAACCAATTAGATTTCCAACTTTGCCTTTGCAACAGAAGCTCAGACAAGGAAAGGACTATGTCTTTAGTGGGTAGGATGAAATGTGGCTGATGATCCAGCCAAGGAGATTGAAAAGGAGGAATTAGAAAGAATCAGGAGGGAGAAGGATCACAGAAGCTAAGGAAGGAGAGAATGTCCAGGAGGAAAGGGTGGTCAACATTGTTAAAAGCTATTCAGAGACCAAGGCTGAAGAAGAGATCACTGGTGACCTTAGACAGAGCAGTTTCAGTTGATTAGTAGGGACCAAAGCCAGATTGTAAGGGTTAAGAAGTGAATGGGAGGTGAGAAAGCTGACTTCGGAAAAAATGGACAACTCTTTCCCCCATTAGGGTTTTGACTATTAAAGGGAGGATAGATATTGGACAATATTTTGAAGGGTTGGTAGGTTCAAAAAAAGGTTTTAAAGGATGTGGACAGAGAGTTCAGAATATGCATAAGGAAATAGTAGATAAAAAGAGGTTAAAATGAGGAAAACTCCTAGGAATAGTATAGCCAAATTCCAGAAATCCTAGGTCAAGGAGAAAATATTGCAAGCAGCCAGAAAGAAACAATTCAAAAAGAGGTTAAAATGAGGGATATAGAGGAGGTAGTCTTAAATGAAAACTGGACAGGACAGGAGAGGCTAAGAGGTAAGAGCTGGTTGAGGGGGTGGTGTTGGCAAAAAGAAAAGGGCCATCTCTGTGATCTAGTCTAGAGCAAAACAAGAGAGGACAGTGAAGTAGGACTTAGGGGTAGGAGAAGCTTGAAAACTTAGCCTCTGTTGTCTCAATATAATAGGAGCCAAAGGTGCTTTTCTGAATGGGAAGGGGAAAGTTTGGGAATCACCACTATAGAGAGTGATCATGGCATTCTAAATGAAGCATTTAGTCTGGTACTGACTTGAAGGTGAGTAAATATCTGTGAAAAGAGTTTGGCTGAGTGGTAAAGAGAGATGGAGAGAAGGTCAAAGGAAGAGAGGTTGCTGAATGATGGTGGTGAAAGGGAATGAACAGCAATGCTTTGGATATCACCTTTGATGGTTTCTGTGTGGGGCCTTAGAGCCCATCTAATCCAAACCCCTTCATTTTACAATGAGGAAACTGAGGTATAGAGAAGTAGTGCAACTTCCCCCATGGTCACACAGGTAAACAGCATCAGATACAGAATTTGAATCCAAGCCTTTTGACAGGAGAGCCCACATTCTTTCCACTGTAACGTACTGCCTCCCCTAAAGATCCTTTTAAAAAAGTTTTAATAAAAATTTTCTTTCAAAATTTGAGTGATAAAATATTTTCTTGACAATGTTAAATTATCCCCAGAATGCTTGTGGAGGGTGGGCAGGCACTGGGGGGAGACTTCAGAGATTTGAAAGGCTGTCATATGAAGAGGTGACCACATGCATTCAGCTACAAGAGGAGAGACCAAGAAGATGACGCTGAGAAGTCTCCAAGAGGCAGCTCTATGCTCTACATTGCCTTAAATTGTTTGCTTCATTTGTACAAGAATGTCTGCTTACAGCAATGTACTTTTCCAAATGTATCTAAGCTATTTGAGGATCTTGGGGATTCCCTGCCTGTCACCAGTGGCTTCCTTG